TATATATATATATATATATTCCCCTGCTGCAGCACTTGCTGCTGTATACATGATGTATATTTATATATATATTGTATATATACACAACATACAGCATATATATATATGCATTATATATGTATGTATATATACATATATACATATATATATAATAATATTGCTTATATGTTTTTGCTGTTTGTCCTGTTTGTCCTGTTTTTCCTTGTTGTTGGGTATAAAAAATATAATCCTTGTATTAAATACAGAAAATAAGAGAAGAAGAAAGAGAATAAATAAATAAATAAATATAATACCTATATATATACATAATAAATCTAAATAAATAAATAAATAAATAAATAAATAAATAGATAAAGAATTAAGAAGAAGCACAACATCCAAACCTAGAAGAAAGTGAATTATTATTATGTTGATTAAAAGAATCATTAGTAAGTTTAAGTGTCTGTACACCTGAATAATGTTGTTGCTGCTGCTGCTGGTGCTGGAGATTTAATTGTTGATTTTTTAATCTTCTTGCAATTAATTGGAATAAAAGTTGAACATTTAATCCTGTTCTTGCTGAAGTCTCTAAGAAAATAAGCTGATTCTCTTCTGCATATAATTTAGCTGTATGTACATCTATTTGTTTATTATTTATATCTGCCTTATTTGCTGCTAATGCTATTATTATATTAGGATTATAACTTAATTGTAATTGTTGTACCCACATCTTAGCCCGTTCGTATGATGGACCATTGGTCTGGTCATATACAATTATAGCTGCTGCTGCACCTCTATAATACATAGGAGCTAATGAAGAAAATCTTTCTTGTCCTGCTGTATCCCATACCTCAAACTTTACTCCTTCTCCATCTATATCTACTGTCTTAGCAAAAAATGCTGCACCTATTGTTGTCTCCATTGTATTAGAGAATGTATTCTTAACAAAACGTAATACTAAACTTGATTTACCTACAGATGCATCTCCTAATAATACTGTCTTATAGCTTGGTCCTTTTATTCCTCCTGTCTTTGCTGCTGCTGCTGCTGATGATGATGATGATGATGATGATGATGTTGCTGTTGTTGTTGTTGCTGCTGTGCTGCTGCTGCTGCTAGGGGTTGATGATGTTCCTCCTTGTATACCACCAACTACACCAGATAAACGCTGCTGTTGTATACTACTACCTGTATTTGTACGAGAGGGAGGAACAGGAGAAGAAGAAGAAGAAGATGATGATGATGTTATATTCTGTGGCCAAGATGGCATCATCTTCCTTATTCTTCTATCTTCTTCTGTTGTCGCTGTTCCTGTTGCTGTTGTTGTTGTTGCTGTTGTTGTACTTTCTCTGTTGTTATTGGTCTAGTAAATATAAACCCTCAATAGAATAATGCTAAGAATTCCTCATAAACAATTTCCTCCCTTTCTTTCTTAATGACGTAAAAACCCTCAGAAGAAACACAGATTCAGCTGTATGTAAAGGTAGCTGCTCCTCCTGATTATTATGTAGTAGGAAGAAAAAGAAACAAAAGAAAACAATCGCTAAAAATATGCACACAAGATACTGATCCGCATGCAAAATATAATAATTAATACGTCACTATAGATGTTAGAGAAGAAAAAGAAGAAAAGAAAAAGAAAATAACAAAGAGGGATATACGAAGTTATACCCTCTTAATGTCTTCTGTCTTTCTTCTAGTAGCCAGCGACGACTTAGGATTGCACTAGAATGCTCAAGTTGACGTGATAAGGCTAATGAAGAAAAGGAAGGAAAGGTGAAAATATGTTGAAAAAGAAGAAAAAATACATAAATTCCTCCTGATTGCTACTGCCGCCACTGCTGGACCCTGGACCTTGCAACAATTGAAGAACACGCAGAATTTCAGAGGAAAAAGGTTGAATGGCAATTGCTGCAAGAAAATACTTTTAATGCTTTCCTTCACGCTGATAAGGTGTATATGTACACCTTGAGGAAGAACAAGATGATATTCAACTTTGTTGAAATATCTTTCTATGCCGCCTCTGTTGTCGTGGTGTGTGAGGGTGGTGTTTGTGTGCGGTGTCTGTGTTTTTCGCAAGAAGTTAACTCTTATTAACTTAAATATCAGTAAATTGATGGAATAAATGCAGCAGATTTACAGGAAAAACACACAAACTTCCTCCTGAAACCCAACATGTCGCAGGAGCCCGTTCACACATACATATTCAAGTTTCCTCGGAGGCGCTTGTGTAGGAAAGCCGACCAACGGCTAGGGGGGAAACCGAGGATAAATCGGCAATCCAAGTCAGTTTTCTGTATATTTACGTTAATATTAAATCATTGCAAGAGAAATTCCACGAAAATATACATAAATTAAAGGAGGATCGCGGCCCAGCCCCCGCCGGGTGAGCTGACCGCGCAGCGCTGAGAGTGCCCGTGGATAAAGGATACCTGCGGTTGTTGACCCACTAGAAGCACTATAAATGCAAATACTTTTGATGCTTTTCTTCAAAAAGATACAAGGGCTTGTCAAAATCCATATTAGGAGTTAATTAAATGCCATTTTCTACCCGATCCGTCGCTGCTTGCTACTACACCCTCTTCCTTTCAGCGCACGCGGTAAATGTGTATGGCGTTCCATATCCAAATGAGAAGAAAAAATACTCCTCTTTGCATTTATAATTAATCGTAGGTGAAATGCCTTTTAATTCACCTATTTTTAAAGGTTTGCCATATAACTGTTTCAGGCACGACAGCCCGATCCCCCCCATCTGCTTGCCATTGTGAATTTTGCAAGTTGGTCCAAGCATCATTTCCTTCCCTCTAGATGTTTCTTCATTTTAATCAGCAACTTGGCGTCACTAAGAAGTTCCTTCTTCTTCTGTCTTGATACCTCTTATACACTTGTCTTCTGAGTTCCCTTTGTCCTAACACCAGCAGCCATAAATCCTCTATTTCCCCCCTATACTTGCAGATGAAGCTCCTCATTCAGCTTTCTTCTCCTTTTCTCCTCTTTCAGGCCATAACGGCCTCCACATTACCTCCTCCAGATGCCTATGGGGCTCCCTGGGGCTCCTGGGGCCCCTTGTCTTCTCCCGCTTCATCAGAAAGAACGACGGAGTCTGCATGCGCTGCCCTTTGTAGTGCAGTGTACAGCGGAGATGAGCCTTCCCTGTCTGCAAGTTGCTTCCTGTCCCCTCCTCAGCCAAACTTTAATAGTTTAGATGTATTATCTTCCTTTGATGTAACAGATACAGCAAATATTCAATTGCATGCAGTGCAGCAAGACTGGTGCTGCAACTGTAGACAGACCCTTGGAGAATCAACAGCTCTAGCCTTCTTACAGCAGCATCGTCATTTATCTCGTCTTCCTGCACGTATAAGGAACAGAAGCAGCATCAGCAGCATCAGCAGCAGCAGCAGCAGCAGCAGCAACAGCAGCAGCAGGAGCAGAAGCAGCAGATTAAGAGCCATGGATCGATCTATTTCCTTAAGTCCTGCTGTTTGTTTTAATTTATCTTTTGTCCCTCATCTCCGTCTTGTATGCAAGCTAGGTGCCCTCCCTAATGCTGCTCCTTCTTCTTATCTCCCCTTTAGCAGCAGCAGACTCAGCAGCAGCAGACTCAACAGCAGCAGCAGCAGCAACAGCAGCAGCAGCAACAGCAGCAGCAAAGGGAGAGGTATAATTCCTCGTCAATGTAAATATAATGGTTGTAATAGTTTACCTTTATTAACAAGACAAGAAGAAGTAGATAATTGGATAAATAATATAATAAAAAAAGAAAAGTTATTATTATTTATTAAGGATAAATGTCCTTATTGTTCAATGGCATTGCATGCATTAAAATCTGCAGCTGCTGCTGCTGCTGCTGCTGCTGGTAGTGGTAGTACTATTAATAATTATGGTGTATGTACAGTCCAAATAGATACTTCTCCTTTTATGAATATTATACAAAATAAATTAAAAGAAAAAACAGGAGAAAGAACAGTACCCCGTGTATTTATTAATGGTATATCTATTGGAGGATGTAATGATTTATTATTCCTTATAAATAATAATCAATTATATCCTATGCTGCAGCAAATATACAACCACCACCAGCAGCAGCTAGGGCAGCAGCAGCAGCAGCAACAGCAGCAGCTAGGGCAGCAGCAGCAGCTAATCCAGCAGCAACAGCAAGAACAAGATGATAGACAACGCCGCAGCGGGAAGAGGGGGGAAGATGAATAAAAAAGGGAAAAAGAATTATAAATAAATAAATAAATAAATAAATAGGGAATTAATATATTATTTATTATTTATTTATTTATTTATTTATTTATTCTTCTCTTTGCATGCATGGAAATGCATGCATGCAAAATGCATGCATGCATTTATTTATTTCTTCTTTTTATCTTAAAAATGCAGCATTTAATTTATTTATTATTTCTTTGTTTATATTTATTTATTTGTTTAATTATATACATTTATATTTATATTTATATTTATTCTTTTCTTCTTTTCTTCTCTTTTGTTTGTTTATTTCTTTTACAAAGGGATATTCCTTCCTCTTGCTGTTTCTCTTATAAACCCTTATATAT